TTTTTTTCATTTGTTTTGTGCTTTCATTTTCTTGTTTTACATGTGTTATATTAAGGAAAATAATACACAACATTTCTTCATGTGAATCAAGAATTCCATGTTCTAATATTCGCGATTTCGATTAATTTTTTTATTTTTATTTTTATTTTCTTTTGTGACAAGAAGAAATAATCAAGAAGGACCCTCTTTCGAATTTGGTGAGCTAGAGGAAGCAATTGTACTCCATCAAGGACTCCAAATCAATAATAATAATAATAATGATCATCATCCCCACAAAAAACAATGTACTCTCTCTCCCTCTCTCTCTCTCTCTCTCTCTCTATCTCTCTCAATCTCTCTCTCAATCTCTCTCAATCTCTCTCTCTCTCTCTCTGACGTTTGCAAGTGTAACAAACTCAAAAACACACACACACACACACACACACAAACATGTGACTTATTTGAACATTTCTTGAGAAGAAAAAAGAGGAAAGAAAAAGGGACCCCTTTTAAGCTATTTTCACAGCCAAAATCATTCTTGGATATGGCTTCTTGAATAGCGTGGGGTTACAAATAAGGAAATAACCACACTTTTTCCCACTTTCCATGATTTTTTTTTTTTTTTTTTTCTACTCACTCCATAACTGCTAAAGGCAAATAAAACAAATATTATTATTATATATATAAAGGCAGATTATTTGGGTTCACTTCACTATATAGCCTTCTTATTTATTTATTTATTTATTTGAATTATCAAGATTTTTTTGGATTTTGTGTATATTGTTTTGCAGCTTTATATACAACAACAAGTATCAGACCTGCAGCAGCAGCAGCAGCAACACTGGACATGTTCCCTTCTTGGCCTATCAGATTCCAACACAATACCCCAAGAGGAGTTACTACTACTCTTCTCTTTTACCTTCTCACTTTCAAATTCACTCAATATAAATTTTAAAATCTTTGACCAAATATATATATATATATATATATATATTTTTTACATATTTTGAATCAAAATTTCATATTTTTTTTTTTGGAGCTTATCTTTTAAAGGGCTTTTGGAGCTTTCTTCAAAATCTGTTGGAGTTAATATTATTATTATTTTAAAAAAAAATTTAATATTATATTGAATGATGATGGAAGCAAGTTTGACTTAATTATTATATTTAATAGAGCTCAAAATCAAGAGAAGAAAGTACTACAGACTCTGTGAACACAATCTCCACCACAAACAGATTTGATCATCATCAGCCGGAGTCCCCCATCAGCACCACCAAAGATCATCAATCTTTTCCGGCGGCCGAGCTTATAAACCACCGTCGCCTCCCGCCGCCGCCCCAGATGGAAACCGCCGGAGTTTCACAACAGCCACCACCACCGGCCAAACAAAACCCAGAAGTAAAGGTGCCTGCTTTTTTTCTTCTTTATAAAAAAAAATAAAAATTAAAACTTTTTTTATTATTTTCTTTATTAATTTGTTTTGAATTTTTTTTTTAACAAATAGTAAAATTAACTGCTGGAAATGATTTGCATCAAAAGATGAGTTTTGAGTTATTTCTGATTTGGTTCAGGGATTTTCTGATTTTTTTATTCTGACATGTAATAATTATATATATTTTTTTAATTAACTTCATATGTCTCTTTTATTTCAACTCATGTTATAATAATAATAATAATGACCAAAATTTTTTAGTTTTAAGTCATAGTTCTCATAATAATTACCTACTTTTTCCCATCCCCAAAACTGTAGTTCAATTAATTTACCTTTTTTCTTGCCTTTTGCTCCTCCTCCTTTTTTTCTTTCTTTTAATTAATTTTCTTTTTTTTTTAAATTATTCTTTATTGGAAAAAAAATAAAATAATGCAAAATCTAAAGAAAAATACAAAAATTAGATGTGATGGGATGGATTAAACATTTCATTGACCATCATAATTATTTTCAAGAAACAGTTCACATATCAGCATCAGATAATTGAAGTCTAAAAAAATGCCTAACACCAATAATTATTACAAAGATATATATTTTTTTTTTCTTGTTAATATAATTAATAATAAAAACTAAATTAAATATAACAACTGTGAGTCTGTGATGAACAATAATAATAAGATTCTGTTATTTGCAACACGCTACCTTCTCTTCAGAAAAATTCAAAATGATAATAATAATAAATAGATGAGATTATTGATTTTATATACCTATACAATAATTTCAATGTCCCTTACAAAATTATACTATTTGTTTAAGTTTAGCTGCATTTATTGACCATAATATTTAAATGCCAAATCTTAACAACTTTCATAAATTTCTTGATTTATTTTTTTTTTCTTCCCCCC